GGTCCCCCTCATTGAAAACTAAACTGTTATTATTTACTCGCATTGTTAAGAATAGCAGCAGGAAACTTGAATATCATCCGTCTCACCCTATCCCGTTAAATTGTCCCACATTGGAAGAAGACACTTCTGTGAGATCTGTTTAAATGAGTTTTCTTAACACAAAAAATTTTATATTGACGTATGGTGTACTCACCGGCACTGACTTTCGGGAGAATGCGACAATATAGCGCACCTCATTTTTATTATTTTTGGTATTGCCATGAGATTAAAGTTTATTGACCTTTATCGCAAGTCTTTCACTTTGAATGAAACTAGATTTTCAATGTTTATCACCTTGATTTTATTATTGTAATGTCTCAGAAAATAAATTTCAAATTTAGAGCCTGAGAACAAAACATATAGTAGTTTAAGGGGCGGTTGTAGGTTCATTGTGCCGGGTGTATTGGAAACATTCTTCCCAAATCGTATTCCATTCCGTGAGTGTAATAATTCTTTAATGTGTTTATCAAGAAAATATGTTGTTATCCATTTTATTTAAATAATCTAAATACTGTATAAATTATGTGATATTCTTGTCGGTTCTGTAAGCTTCGGAAAACCTGACAAAGGCACTAGAACCTCTGATCAGTGGTGAAGGGGCTCTTACCCACCACCAGCAGCCAGAAAATCAGTGTAATTGTTTAGAAAATAGATAAAAATGGCAGGGGTTCAAAGTTAGAATACAGTATACTTGCCCACAGGGTGTTGCTAGGGGTGCCAGGGGCTAGTATACTGTACTCGTCAAAATCTGGGTAACTAAGCATTTATAACTTCTTAGTTAAAAATTGTAGAACCACAAACTCAACGGCTGGTAGTTTAGGGGAGATAAACCTAGACGATATGTACAAATGACGTATGTATGTTTGTTGTGTTACGTTGTTGGTAGTGTACTCGAACCGAACAAGTGGGGGCCCCCTTTAAACACATACCAACTCATGCAAAAAGCGGACAAGGTAACTCGCACTTGGCATAGTCTATAAAAAGTGCTATCACAGTGCCGTCGAAGAGTTTACTCCTCCCCTAATATTTTCCCACCAATTTATTAGACACATCATTTTGATGATATATGACTAGATAAAACTGCAAAAAAAGTATGTTTGTTCATGTAAACTTGTTTTGGCAGACAGGAAGGAACCTTAAAAAAAAGGTCTGGCAGTCAACGTGTTAACACATTTAAATATATTTTGCTCTGCATGGTGTTACCCATTGGCACTGACTTCCAGCAGACAACTGATAATACAGCAATAAAAACGAATTTTGGAGTGCAGGAGGACTTTTCTAATTTCCGGGGGACTTGCACGAAATTGGGACCCCTGGCTAAATCTTCAAAGTTTTTAGGGGGAATATCTCCATAGATCCTCATAATGCGTAAGGAAACACCGTAAAACTTTCCTCTCAACTAGAATTTCCGCCCCTTATTGACGCTCGATTGGCACTTGCACCACACAGGCAAAATAGTTCTGGATCCATCACTGCTGGTGATCTACAGGTGGGCCTGGGCAAGTTTATTTTTTCTCTGCAATTGATGAGGTAACAGGATTTAATGTATAACTAGGTGTGTGTTTGAAATTTTATTTTACTTGAAGAACAAATTGTCTATTTTATTATTTCAAGCCTTTAGTACTGTATATTAAGGTTTGATGCTCCTTGTGTTCTCAGAATGTATAATAAAGTATAAAAGAAAATATGTTTCTTAGTTGTAACTTTTATTATATCAAAACACATACCATTTACATTTAATTTTTTATTTATTATAATGCCCATTTGCTGAAAATGTATTTTTTCTATTTTCCATTATTTTTTTAACAAGCTTCTATGATGCTATTAGTTTTTTTTTTAAACGCTTTGGATAATCAATGTAACTTTGGTACGTATATGTCTGGAATGTTGTCAATATGATATGTCAAATATAATGCAAAAGAAACCCGTAATATATTTTTAGATATAAGCCAGTATCTGTGGCTTAACAGCTTCAAGCTCTCACTGCCTGAAGTTGGGGCCCCTGATATTTATCAGCATTTTCCCCATACATATGGCCAAGTGGGGAATTTTTAAGGGGCACTAACATGTTAAAAATTATCAAAATACTTCATTAAAATGTTGAATACGCCAAGGTGGATGGGGCTTATCCCCAGGGTAGTAGGGCCAAAAAGAAGCCTTAGACCACTCCATTGAGTACCCAGAAATGTCCTGATCACAGTTGCCATATTTACAGGCAAAATACATGTTTATAGAGTTGTACTTCAAGGCAATCTGAATGTTCTTTCTTCTTAGCCATCATCTTGATTAAGTTATTTCCTGAATTTCCCAATATTTTTATGAGAAAAACTTTCTGAAGATTTCAGATACTTGGCTTTCCTCGTATTTTTCAACGACAACATTATTTGTGACATTAACAGCACCAGCAACCATGGCTGAAAGACCTGGAAGTAAAAAAATTGTACCACGCGAGACTTTAGCAAAATTGTATTACAAGAAAATTGGTAACATTTTAAAATTCAAGATCTTAAGTATTAACTGTTTTGTATAGTAAAAGTACTATGTATGCAAGACCTCAGTGAAATAATATTACTATGCGAGACCATAAAAATTGTATACTACTGTTACTTGTGAGGCTACAGCTAAATTATACAACTTGTGAGACTACGGTTAAATTGTATAGCACTTATTTGTGACACTACAGTAAAATTACACAAGAGTTTGTGAGATTAATTCAAAATTGTACTGTACTACAGTTTGTGAGACTGCAGCAAAAATTGTATTATAGTATAGTGAGACCTCAGAAAAATTCTACTTTGCTAGGCCTCAAAATAAAAAATATTTTATTACTGTATTGCAAAATTATTACAGGTGCGTACCTCGCTGTACAGTAATTATGTGTATACAAGTAATAAAGTACTTTATTATATATAAAGGCTTCCGGAAGCATTGTTCCATAAGAATTGAAAATATTTACGTTTGTCACTGTTGGGTCTAAAGAGGCAGAGTATTTTCTTGTTAAGTGAAACAGCTCTTCCGATTTCATACCCTACACCCAGTGACGGCTGAGTCACCTCGGCAACAATAACTGGAAATTAATGGTAATCAATAAATAATATAATTTCTATTGGATCATAATTACAATTGCAAAGAAAATTTCCTCCACTTGCTACTGGTTGAAATAACTAGATAAACTTACCATCACTTGATATCAGCCAATCCATATCCCTGTCATGTATTCCTTTGTCATCTAATTGTTCTAGAGAACAAAATCTCAAGTATAATAATAATAAACAAGATATTTTTCAAATATTACTCTTAGTCTTTATTTCTATTTAGGCGAGAATTTCTTTATACCTTGTTTCGCAAACTTATTTTTATGAAGATTGTCTAAGAAGGGATGAAAAAGAAATGAAATGCTGTTATTTAGCAAATAGTTTTGCAAAAAACATAATAAATTTTTATTGGTAAATGTAAATAGTGTAGTAATGGGATGGTTGAATGCTTTAAATTTATATAATTAGGAAGAAATATACATTTTATTTTTGGAGATTTCAAGTTAACTTTTATTTTTTTCTGAAATTCTCATTTTTTCGTGGCAGTCTCGCCTTAAAACCGTTAAATAATGATATAAACATTTTAATTTTATTTCTCAATGTATTACATTTTTAGATTAAAAGAATACACATTTAACATTTTAAAAATTAAGGCAACAAAAAATTACAAGCAAAGACTGAGTTTGCCAAAACCATAATTTACATCTTGTTGGTTAACATGATTTATAAATACATTTGCCTCCTTATTAAATTCACTCACCTTTTTCCAAAATACCTTTGTCAGCGATGTGTTCTGTGAGGACTTCACCGTACTGTTTTAAATCTTTAATGAGTCGTTCATACAACTCACGGTCCTGTCTTCCTCCTCGGATACTTCCACAGAAATATATTCTTCTAGATGGCATTTTGAAAATGTGGCTACCGGTATTCTTTATAAAAAAATACTTTGTATAAGCTCACTTTGCCTACTGTAGCTAGGCTTTCATTTTACTAAATGCCAAAACAAGTCAAATAGATACTGTACAGTATTAAAAATGTTTGGTAACAATGGTGATTATTGGCATAGGCCTAGCCAGCCATGCATAGGCCTATTAGTATTATAGCCTATATGGCTATGCAATATAGTACAGTATTTAATAAATAAATATTTAAACAGGCAGTGGCAGTACACAGGTACCGAGTAGCTAGGCCTAGTAGTACTTTTTTGTACTAACTAGTATTAATAAGACAGTACTAAACCTAGGTCTCGGCCTACCTAGGGTATACAGTTGAAGCTTTATAGGGGAAGACTATATAAATCATTTTAATTAAGTCAAACAAAGCAAGAAGTCAAGAGGGGTTAAATAGAAGGCCACATGTTCTGCAGACCTACCAGCCTCTTTCACCACTCATTTAGTGGTGTACGTTGAGTAGGCTAGGCCCTAGAAGGCCAGGGCCTATTAAGGACTAGCTTGAATGGTGCTAATAATGCACTTTTTTACTCCAAAAACTCTAACCTCCACTCCAGTCTTGCTATCTTATCTTATGTTTAACTATAGGTTGGGTAGGGTGGAGTACTAAAACTAACTAAAATGCATTAGCGCCGCTAGGCTTACTAAACTAAGGCTAGCCTCTAGCCTAGGCCTGTCTACAAGCTCATTCAGTTATAAACAATCAGTAAATCCGATGGCATGTGTCAAAATAGTAATAAAGAGAATATAATATTTAATAAGGAACAAAACACACGAGCTACCTTTTTTACGAGACCAGGGAAATTTCGCGGGGATTTTTACGCTTGATTAAGTAGTGGGCGGAGTTTACTTATTTGCTGCCCTCTATGCGCTTTTTTGGCATGGTCCATGTTGATGACGTGTTGTTGGTTGATCCCATTCCAGAGATCAAAGGTTATGTTTGAAATGGCAGCGCGAATTCAGCATCAGATGTCTATAAAAAAAACATGTTTTGTGAGGTTTCCTGGCCATGTTGCACCTTACATTAGAGCAACATTGCTTAAAGAGATGATTAAGTACCTGTTGTACCATAGTCATCAAATACAAATGCCATTTGAACAAATAAAATTTGACTTCGGATCATCAAAGGTAGGCTAGGCCTAGGTAGGGCCAGGTTAAATAAAGGGCCTAGCTAGAGAGAGGCCCTAGGCCTCTAGCTAGGGTAGGCTTCGCCTAGGTAGGCTAGGCCTAGGTGTGGTAGGTAGGGCCAGCCCAAAACCCATGCCAGGGAGTACCGTACAGGGCGTAGGGCCTAGCCTAGGCTAGATCTTAGCTAGGGAACCACTGACTGCCAAAAAGCCCGAGTCTAGCGATTCAGATAGATAGCTAGACTACTACTAGACGAATACTACTAACTAGGCTAAGCCTTTATTATTTAGGCTTAAGCCTAACTAGACGGCAACCAGTCCCAGCGGGATTCGTCCCAGCCATAATATAAGCCTAGCTACCATAGTAGGCCTATTTATTGCCTATAATAGGCCTACAGGCTACAGGCCGAAGCTAGCTATAGATACTGTAGGCGACAGACAGCATTCTTGCTATTAGGACTAGCTAGTCCTAGATCTCCTTAATATAATAATGATATCTGGGCTGAGCCCATTCGTAACTAACTACTACTACTACATCACATGCCTACTCTGCTAGGCCTAGCTGAGGCCCTATGTAATACCCTCTCCTAGCTAAGGTACACAGTATAGTTTGTAGGCTTAACCCTAGGTAGACCCCTGGTATTCAAACTACTTGATCATTTACCAAATATTTTGCAGAGTCAACTGACAATAGTCGGTATGAGATGATGACCTATGTCAATACATTTTATCTGATGTATTATAGAATAATCTCTCATTTTAGTGACAATAACAATAAAACAGCATACAGTAACTTTCATTTGTTTTGGTGCCTGACACAGGAATATTATTAGTAATAAATACAAGTTTTCCAACTAAAGTACTGTGCTGAAACTCAAAATTTGGGAGACTGGAGCCTGGAGGTGCACTGTAGAAGTCCACCCCAACCCCCAAAATGTTGAAAGTCTTAATTTTTTGTTTAGTTTCAGTAAGGCTTGTAATTCGAGGGACTCGGGATATTTGGAACATTTGATGATAAAATAACAAACTAGAAGTTATGTAATCAATTTTTTTTCAAGTAAATTGTAAATTGTAATTCTCTTTTTTTTTTTCCTTAATTATAGGATTCTGATTTCAGCCGGCACCCAGCGAATGCAGAAAATGCAAAAAGACTAATTTCCGGTCTGGAAGAGATATTTACGAACATTGACACTTTATTTTCCATGGCTTGCGTTACACGTTTTGCCATCATCTTTGGTGCGACGATTGTAAGTCCCAGAGAAGTTTATCATATGACAATAACCGAAAGGCATTTACCTAGTAGTACCAATAGTGACTCAACAAACTCCAGTTCAACTAAGAATATCCTCCGAACTAAGACCTGCGTGCGTACATTGATGAAGGAACTTGTAACCTCTGACGCTTTGTTATCAAGCAAGAAACCATCTGAAAAAATTCCACCACCTACAAAGATGTTTCTTCTTATCTATGCGCATAGGAACTCGGGCATTCAGTGGTTTGTTCCGATCAATTTTACGAGTCCTAGGAGAGGGGAGCAGTTTTGGATCAAGGTAGAACATGGGGAGAGTTCAGAAACCGATGGGGTCGATGCCCAAGACAGTCTTGAAGATGATGACTGGATTTGGTTTAAAGCACCGGTTGATGTCAAGGGATTTCTAGAAAAAGCAACAAACTTGTCAAAGGGTTTTCAGTTATGATGAATGTAAATTATTTGTATTATTTTTTAAAATTATCTTCACTAAAGTTATTTACCAAATCATACCGTAAAACCGTGAAAGCCCCGGGCTTTTTTTTTTTTTTGTGAACTTTGGATTTTCAAGATGGCTTTTTTTTCGAAATGGGCTTCTTTTCGAGGCTACTTTTGCAAAGTAAACAGGGGAGCTTCTTTTTAAAATGAATGCTGTCATTTTTGGGAATTACTACTATAAAACAATAAATAGGGCCACTGTGAGTCTGTACTGTGTCATGAGAGGGTATTAACCGGCATTAAGCTACTGTACCTACTGTATAAACCATGTTTTTAATTTATATTGTTCCTTTGAAATTGATGTACAGTATATGTACTGTACTATCTCGAAAATAAGCCCATGGGCTTCTTATTGAGATGAGCTTCTTTTCAAGGGTAGATTTGCAAACTAAAGAGGGGGCTTTAATTCAAGATGTGCTTCTTCTCAGGGTTTTACGGTAATGTTAATACATAATAGTAATCAGCATTTTAAATATTTTACTTCAAATACTGTGCATTTAGAAATATTTTACTTACTTTAATACTTAGTATCTGAAAATACTTTACTGTCTTATCTGGAAATACTGTACTGTACTGTACTGTATCGTCAAATAATGTGAAAGTTGTACTGTACTGCATTTAGAAATATTAGTACTTCATTGAGTATCTGATAATACTTTTAACTACACTATCTGGAAATATTGTAAAGTATCTGGATCTAATATTGTACAGTATCTGGAAATACTATACTGTACCGTTATTGAAACGTTTATGTAAGTTTCTATTTTATCTGGAATATTTTACTGTATTTTATCTAAAAAACTGTACTTTACCAAATCTGAAAAATAGACATACAGTACAGTACTTGTGAATTATTTGCTCTGTATCTGGATTGTGCTGTACTACAGTATGTCTGGGAGTAATGTATTGTGAAAATATTGTACTGTATGTTGTATTCAGGAATAATTGAACTGCAATATTTTAGCTTCCTCAAGAACGTTTGCCTTACAATAAAATACAAGAAACGCTGAATGTATCTTTATTTATACATAATGCGATTATCTGATAATGAATGATATTTTCAGAATTTGGTTAAATATTTTTTGAATACTTTTGGAAAGTGATTGATATTTATTTTATATTGGTTTTTTTTTTTCAATATTTTATGCAATTTTTTAAAAATAAGTTATTTGGACTAATATACATTTTATTATTAAATTATCAATAGTTTTAATATTACTGTAGATTTATTTTATGAATACCTACAGTACAGAACTACATACATTTTCTGTTGTAGAGGTTTTTGCAGTGTGACCATCTTCTATGCTTCCTAATTTATTATTGTTATTATTGTAATATTTTGCTGTTTATTGAATCGCTGTGTCTTTATTATTGTTAATCTTAGATAAAATTGCTGCAGATTCTTTAGTTCATAATGAAATTGATAATAGCACCTTAAATTTAGTTACATTTTTTCATTATTTAGTGTGCTTTTAAGATGCTGAATTTAATTTTAGAATAATCAATTGATTTTACTACAAATGAGTCAACTTACAAGATTTAAATCTTGCTTTGCTGTTTTAACTGTACTGTGTTTAATTTCATCTTATGCCATTTTTTCTCCTTTTGTATTGTTTTCTGACATGATTGCCTCCACTAATAGCCATTTCAGTTTGTTCTGACACAACATTTCACATTTTGTCCAACTTGTTTCTCTCCACCCTCTAGTATGGTACCATTTGTTCTGACTTGTCACTATCCACTCCATTCTGGTGTAGTCCTTTGTTGTGCTGTTTGTTCTTAAACATGATCCTCTCCATTACGTTGTGCCATTCTTATTCTAACATGATCCTTTCCATTACGGATCAGCATCGAATTCCATGCCCTGTAGTATACACCACACTCGGCCCATGTTTTCATTAAATACGGCAATAAGCCGAAACACCAATGGGTATGAACAGCATATGATGTGGCCACTTTAAAGACCTAGCCCAAAGGTTGCGCCAGTACTTGCCAAATGGAGGTCCCATTTTCCCGATGAGATCGTAAGTGGGCGTAATTAGTGGCTGCCCAGAACCACTGTTTCCACAACATGATGCGCTCTAATGTGATACACGCTCTGTACACTTTATTGTGTCATTTGCCGTGGACAGAATGGTATAGTGTTTGTCGATTTTTAAAGTCTTGATTTAAGCCTTGGTTTACTTTTCTCTATTGCGATTTTGGTGGGATGCTATCTTGCAGCTTACTACAGTATACAGTTAATTTCGTACTACAGTTTAATAGCCACAGTTAAGCTTGGTTTTCATACAATCACTACACGCTATCACCGACAGCTTTCGGTGATGCTGATTGGTTAGTCGAATGGGGGTGGGGGTACTGCCAAGCAGTACAACGAATTTCACTGAAAACACTAAGCTACAGTTGAGCGAGTTTAAGGAAACCAGTCTTAAACCTAATTCTTTATTTGATTTACAGCAATTTTTTTATGACCACTTTATATGAAACTTTTTTAAATAGTTTCTTCTGAGTTGGATCAATGTTGAATTCCATTGTCCCGTCTAAGTGTCCAGAATTCGCTGTTACTGTATTGAAAAATATTCCTAGTGTAAGCATTATTGAAACAATCATGACTTGATTCATGTTTTACGAATAATCTCATATTTTTGAGTGCTATTTTTATCTTTACTTAATGCATGAACTGCCTAGTAAAGCATTGAACACACTGCTCCCGACGATCATTGCCCATCGCGATGTCGTTCGCCGCCGGCAGTTGTACACCCGGCTTTACATTTTCTCAATAGGCCTATCATTTTTACACTCCAGCAGGCTACATTATTGTGTACAGTTTTAGCCAACACTTCAGTCCAGTTGATGGGTTCTGTTTTTATATGAGTGTTGTCTTGGTTTCTTTTATACACTAAAGTTGAGTTCTGTAAATTTCTTTTGGTTTTAATGTTGTCTTGTTTGAGTGAAAATTACATAAATGTTGGCTGAATTCGGTTTTTTTTTTTAGTGGAGAGTACTGAATAAAAGTGTATCAATTTGTAACATGTTTTATTTATTTGTAATACAGTATTTGATTATTCTTGTATAGTCAGTAACGCACATTTTAGATCTTTAGGTAAATCGTAACATACATTTCTTCCTTACGAAAACGATAACGGATACGGCTACGTCATCAATTTTTTAGACAACCCTTCTCCACTAGCATATCTTTTACAACGTAGGCGAGGCGTAGGCGATTCCAGCCTTTTGCATGAATCAAGGATCATATACAGCTCTTACAGCATAATGTCAAGAATGTTTTACGCATAAATGAGGATAATGTTGTATTCGTTTTCGTAAGGTTTGGAGTTCTCCCTATTGATAGTGTAGTGCTCTAGACATTTCCACGACAGATAGCTCATTTTCCATTCAAATCTAATTCAATCATTGGTACAGTATAACGGTTATGTGAGCTGTAACTGTCTTTAAAAAAAGGGCCACACTGAGCTCTTACTCGGACCCAGCACCCAGGATAATAGGGCGCTAAAGTCTTAGCTAGATAGAGGCCCCAGACCTCTTTGTTATGCCGCTGGATTTAACCAGGGGACAGTGAAATTTCACTGTTCCCTGATTTAACTGAATGATCTGTTGTTAAAGAGCCAATAGAACAAAGATGAGGTTTGCATCAATAATATATTTAATATTCAAATAACTTGGTACAGTATTTTGAAGATTGATAAAAAAAAATGAAATCTAAAATCTAATCTCACATCAGTACACGACAACAGTATGAGCAATAAACTGCTTCATTCATAACTTTATAGATAATTTAATATTAGCGTAATATTAATATAATTATATTAAGAGAAATGAAATATTTATATTAATACAGTATCATTTTTATTGTAAAATACCGTAGTAAATAACAATACTGTAGTTCCGGTCTTGGTGAGCATTGATTGATACTAAACATTCATCTTTAACTTGTTGAATTTCATGTAAACCTGGTTTCCATTAAATCGCTACACAGTCGCTACAGGTTTGAACTGCGTATGCTGTCCCCGACGCAATCGGGAACGCTCTCTGATTCAACTGACCAATCAGCGTCGCCAAAGAATTCGGCGATAGCCTGTAACGATTTTTTTGGAAAGCAGGCTTAATACAATACATATTTTTTTCAAAAATATTTCGTTGTTTTATTTAAAGGTGTTTATTTGAGATAATTTATTAATTACTTGCGTATTATGCAATACTTTGCATGTGACACGAGAAAAACATTTTGATTGAATTACGAAAAGGAGCCAGTGGCGTAACTAGGAGAGGGGGCAGATGTGTATAAGAGACAGGTGTAAGCATTATTGAAACAATCATGACTTGATTCATGTTTTACGAATAATCTCATATTTTTGAGTGCTATTTTTATCTTTACTTAATGCATGAACTGCCTAGTAAAGCATTGAACACACTGCTCCCGACGATCATTGCCCATCGCGATGTCGTTCGCCGCCGGCAGTTGTACTAACAGACCTAGGTCAAATGTTATGCTTTTCAGTTTTCCCCGTAGTCCTCCCTCTATTATAAAGGGAATTTTTCTGTGGTCCCAAAAATAACAAATATCTTTATTATTTTAATTAGAGACCACAGCTGCTAAAGACCATGGAAATCCCGATCCCAAAAGTGGTCTTTAATTGGAGGGAGACGTGTAATTACAATTGTTTTTAAATATTGCATATTTACTGAATTCGTCAGCTAGGCCTAAATTAAACTGTCGGCTATCAGTATTTTAGAGTCTAATCGGCTTGCTCGTCAGATTCAACTAGATTTAGATTAGATAATAATGTGAAGGGAAGAAACCTATGGGTTAAACATAATATTCAGTTGCCTGGTCAATAGCTCATTAAATTCAATATGACGTCACATTGCTATCACATGATCGTTGAGTCTTAAAGGGGTTTTTTGCACTCACACACTCAGTTGGGATTTAAAGACAATTTCCTTCTTATTACTACGGGTACACTTATTGCTGCTATTTTCAGGTTTTTATCTCTGTTCACTGTCATTTTGTAATATTTACTATCTGATGGCATTACAGTTAATTCGGTCACCATTTTAACTTCAAACACGTCAGCTTGGCGTATCATTATCGTCTGGAGTTTTTTGTGGTAAATAAGTGGACTGAGCTACAGCTAGTGGAGGTCTAAGAAAACTGAACCGCTGTTAAATAAATTGAAATGAAATTTGGAAAACTAAAATCACTTCACTACATCACGTGATAGCAATAACCAAAGAATGGTTTGGTATCATCGTTTGGAATGACAAGTTGAGCTTTGGCGCTACACCGCTGCTCGTCAACTACGAAGAACGCGCGCGCGTTGTACGTACATCTCTAACATCATACGTTCCCTTTGTCCGTTTCCCAGGCGGTCGGCTTGGGGTAGACATCATCATCTTCACTATCGATTGGTGGTGTTGGAAATCCCTGCAGTATGTCTGCAGAATTATATCGACGGAATCGTTCTTGGTCACGAGAATCTAAGCATCTATGACGTTCGCTGGGATTTGATCGTGTAGACCCATGTAATCTTCTAACACTATGTGGTTTGCTCCTATTTTTAGACGACGGTGTACATAACTTGCTAGAGTGTTTTAATTGCAAACTAACTTTGTTTTCATTCGAATTGTTGCTCTCCAGTTTTTGTTTTTCTTTTGGTTTTTCTTTCTGTTTTTCTTTATCTCTTTCTTTTTCTTTTCCTTCTTTATCTCTTTCTTTTCCTTCTTTATCTCTTTCTTTTTCTTTTTCTTTTCCTTCTCTATCAACGTTTTTGAGTTTACCACCAGAAGAAGAAAGAGGAGTTGATGACTGTTGACTAACTTCACAATGAAAAACTTCGTCATCTTCGGAGAACAATTTAGCTGGCATATTTGTAAATATCATATCTTTCCGTGCAATTCTGTCAAGAAACAGAGGAAAAAATCAATAAGCAAATTCCCTACATCATAGTCTGGTTAGGTGCATGTTGCTTGTGGATTGGTACGTTAGTACTGTAATTTGAATGGGTGGTATGATTTTTATGCCGAGCCTTGACTGATTGTTTGATTTATTTGATAATCTTCCAATAGATTAAAAAGACAAAGAACAGACAAAACAGCAAGGACATCCATTAAATATTATGGATAACACAATCTCCTACATTGATTGATTGTTTATTGATTGAATGTTTAATTGATTTATCGGTTGATTTATTACCTGATTAATTGATTGAAACGCTGAACACTACTAATACTGTGCTTGATTGATTGATTTATTTGGTTGGTTGGTCGGTTAACGTTTTTTGGATTGATTGATCGATTGATTGATTGATTGAATTGCAGAACAAGATTGAGTTGTTTTGATTGATTGGTTGGTTGGTCGGTTTTTGGTCAGACTGATTGATTGATTGACTGATTGATTTAACACTTAAAGAACACTACAGTTTGGGTTCCTTTGGTCAGATTAGATTGGTTAATTGGAAACTGTTAAATTTATCTGCTTAACTACTTAGTAAATTATTTTTTAGTAAATTAGTTGAACCCTTACCTAACTCTATCTGCTGAACCCTGCCACGGTTTTCCTTTTTTTGAATTGGCGGCTCGCGTGTATGGTAGTATAGGATTTTGCACGCTAAAATGAAGATCTTTTACTAATGGTAGATCACATTCATAAAAATCATCTACAGCTAAATATCCAACCTAAAAATAAGAAAATCAATCGCATTATAATTTCAAATGGAATAGATTATGTTTCAGTATGTTAGTAATTTCAATAATAATTACTAATTTATTATTATTATTATTATTATTATTATTATTATTATTATTATTACTATTATTATTATTACAGTATAATGATAAATATCAATATTACATTATAATTTTATTATTGTTATCATCATGATCATCATCACCACCAATCAATATCATCATCATCATGATCACCATCATCATCTTCTCAGCATCATCGTCATCATCATTAGCAGTATCTTCAGAATCATCATCATCATTACTGTTATTATAATAGGCTAATACTGATATTTATTTATTTTATTGTCCGACATATTTATGGGTTTGGTCTGTCTCATTGGTCGACGAATAATCGGGTCGGGTGTTTATTTTTATTGATTAATGTGCAGCTTTCAATGATTGACGGTGTCT